AAAAATATAGACAAACAGACATGAAGAAAACATGAAGAAATTGATTGCATACAAAATATTAATATCTGAACAAGAAGCCATCAGAAAATAATTAGGTAGGAAATTTTTAAGTAATCAGGCTAGCAAAATTTTAAGTCTCTTTAATCCCAGGCATCAAAGACTTAAAAATGCAAAATCAATAACAGAAACACTAATATAAAATAAAGCTGAATATTTATATATTCTGTATAGAATATTTATATATTTTTTGATAAAATTTGAGCCTGTGGAAGAAATCCCAAAGAGAAGGAGCAATTTGATTGTACAAAAGTTGAAATCTGTGTACAACAAAAGAATAACTAATATTGAAAGGAAATATCTGTGCGAACATATACATTATAGAGGTAGTCACTTTCGTGTAAAAAGATGATTTCAGCTAATAAGAAAATAAGATGATAATAAAATATAGGTAAAATATAGAAAGAAAATTTATAAGAGATAAAATATTCTTGATAAAAATATGAAAGAGTATTATTTGCTCTTTAGCAAATAAATACAAATTAAAAATAAGATACTAGGGGCTGGGGATTTAGCTCAGCGGCAAAGCGCCTGCCTGGCAAGCGCAAGGTCGTGAGTTCGGTTCCTGGTACCGGAGAAAAACCAAAAAAAACCAAAAAAAACCAAAAAAAAAACAAAAAAAATAAGATACTAGTGTAGACTTACTACTATAGTCAAAAAGTAGAGAAATGACAAGAATACAAGATTTATTTATGTATTAGTTGCTGGGACTAAGTTGATGTAGTAAAAGTATTTATTGTGTTTACAGTGGTGGGGGTAGGGATGTAGGTGTCAAGGCAAAGAGAAATGTCCATACCCACTCAAAATTTAGCAAAGAGCAATTAATGACTTGAGAAATCTTCCAATTAAACAACAAAAATATGCTGACTATGCAGGGCTTTGCTCTGCTAGCTGTTAATCTTTTCAGATTCCTTCAGGAGACAAGCTCCATCCTCTGAAAAGTCCTGCATTTTCAAAAAGAGAAAACATCCCACTTGACATCCCTAAATTTTTACGGAAAATTTCAAATCTCTAGTGACCATATAAATGTAGAACTAATTTACAATTAATTAAGTATTCAACGGGAGTCACAACGGCTAAATTCATTACCTTTACTCCAGCGAGGGAACTATACAAAACAGGAAGTAGAGGAACAAATGTCTACAGCATTCAAATGCTCCTTTTCTATAATGTTTATAGAAGAACTAGACCATAACAAGAACATAAATTATACTTGAAATAAGCCAGGGATGGGAGGAAAGATGTAAGAGTCCATAGCAAAAGGTCATCACAGGCTATCACAGGTCTATTGCTCACAGTCATCCCTAAGCCTGACTGACATGTCCACATGTGCTGGGGCTTTGAACCCTTTCTGTTACTGGTACTTTTTCACATTTATTTATTTTACTAGTACAGTTTGCAGTAGTAATGTTTACCCCCCCTTGTGGGGAGTCGGTGGGGAGTTGGTGCCTTCATCCTTTTTCATCTCCTTCTCCCTCCATCCCTTGGCCCCCTTCCCATATGCAAAGATCTATCCCCCTGTTTCCTATTATCTATCTTTTTATTTACATTTTGGGTTTCTCATGTAAGAGAAACCAGGGGATATTTAAGTCTGTGCATCTCATTTATTTTACTTAACATTACCCATTCAAGACGCACCCATTTTTCTGCAGATGACTCAAGTTTATGGTTCTTCTTGGTATTTGTGTCGGACGGCATGGATGTTTCAGCTGACTTAAGTGGGCCACAGCAGAACATCACCCAGCTGTGCCTACATGTAGTTAAGCGCCCCTTCACGGCGATGTGACCCTTCCTCCTTGCAATCAGTCCACTGAGTGGCATTCTAAGTAATTACGGGAGACATGCGGAGGTTAAGTATGCACGTTAGCACTGGGCGTACTTGTGATGTCAGGTTAAACAACAAATAGGTTCTTGCTAAGGACACAGTCTGGTTACTCTCTCAGCCTAACAACTGCCCCTGAATTTAGATACTAAGCCTAAAGTATTTATTTATTTAATTCGGTATGTGTAAATAAAAAATCGTGCAAGTATTCAAATGTTAAAAAAAAGAGTAAGTGTTAAAGATGTTAAAAAACTAAGAACAAGGAAAATATTCACCATGTAATAGTATTCAGCCTTTCAGAGGAGGGAAACTCTGTCTTTTGTGACCATGAGGATGGACCCACTACACTTAGGTCAAGTGAAGTAAGCCAGGCCCGGAAAGACAATACTGCATGTTCTCACTTCTGTATAGAATCCGATAAAGCTGAACGCATTGCAGGAGGAAATAGGGAGTTTCTGACAAAGAGTACAAAGTTTCACATAGGCAAAAAGCAGGGTGACTACAGTCAATAATAGCGCATTCTGTATTTCTAAGTGAGACAGAAAGTTTCAGATGTCTCACCATAAAAATGCCAGACAAATAAAGCAATGGGTATGTTAATTAGCCTGATTTAATCATGTCGCCTTGTGTGTGCCTTGTAGATACACCCGTACATATATTAAAATATCACATGATACCCCAGCAATGCACAAATAGAACTTGAAAATAACACTTAGATAATTTTTAATTAAAAAGAATGAAATTTTAAAAGTTAAAAAAGTCAGAAAGTCATAATTCCTGACCTCAACTAAGCGTATAATGTATGGGGGACACAAGCAAATGATGATGATGATGATGATGATTCCAAGAACTGGACAGAAAAGGAGGAAAAGGACCCTGCTAAGTGGAGGCCACAAATTGCAACACTAGCGTTGGGACCTCTCTCACCAGGCGCCGAAAGCCAAGAGGTAGATGAGAAGTTGGAGCAGGCCCAGCCCTCTTAAGTACTGGAGTCCCCTACATCCAAGCCCAGGGACTAGTCTGTCAGGTACCCCCTAGGACATAATAATCAGATTCTTAAATTTATTATTTAAAAGCTGGGATATAAGCCGAGGATTTTCAGAGGTTTCAGTTTATTTTCTTCCACTGCATATGAATATGAAAATCTGAACTAGCTTCTAGCAAAGGCCTGGGAACGAGACACACAGTGGCGTCCTTCTTTGCTCCCTGCTATCTATTCCACTCCATGCACAAAGCTCTCACTTTCTTGCTCTATTTTGCCAACGTGTGTGCTCACGTTTCAGACACCAACACAAAGGACTTCGAACTAAGTGGGCCAAAAGATCTGTCTTTGTTAAAAAGCGGCCCCAGCCTTGTAGCCTCTGTTCTGATGTAACTTAGGCTTCCTGAGGTGGGATGTTAGACAAGCTGGGTTTCCAGCTCTGTGAAATGACCCTTCTGGTACTTCCTCTTTCCAGGGACTCACCACGTTCCATTACTGACCCTTTTACAACGCAGTTTCTTGTCAACTGTTTATCTCACGCTTGCCTCTAAACTGGTGTGTTTGCCATGCACCCGAGATCTCAGGAAGTCTAGGAAATCCTGAAGAAATGACTGTGGAGTAAATATTCTCTCTGGAATGATTAATTTCAGTCATTTCTGATGAAGCTAGTTCTCTCTGTGAAAAAGACAGTCGTTACCTCACAGGCTGGGAGGGAGAACGCCGACCATAAATGCAATAATAGATTTAGGGACAGGGGTGTGTAGGACAGAAAATAAAATAGGAGCCTCCTTAGGTCTTCTAGCTAATCCTGACTAGGAGCAAACTTTTAAAAGCAAACTTTTACTACTAGAGGGATTCCCCTGGGAAGCAAGTCAAAAACAAGAGTAGAAAAGAAAAAAAAAAACAAAAAACAAATAAAGAAAAGGACACAGTGGTCTTGGGACTTGCACCAAGAGACCAAAGGAAAAAAAAGCAGACAGGTAAGACATAGAGAGAAAGCCAAGTCCACAAATGATAAGCGCCCCCCCCCATAAATATAGGGAAAGCAAGGGGGCAGCTGACTAATTTTAAGGCAGGATGTACTAACACCAATACACTGCCGTACACACTTACATATATGTGTATTTGCTCCAGAGTCACTGTATTACCCCATCTAGGGTCATTATAGAGCTCAACAGATATCCACGGGCCCCCTCACTAACTCTAAGCTAACCAAAAATAAGGCACACCTTTGCCAACTAGCTGCCCGCTCCAAAGATAAGGCCTTAAAAGCTACGTCAAGAACAAGTAAACGAGGGGGCTGGAAATTTAGCTCAGCTGCATAGTGCCTGCCTGGCAAGCGCGAGGTCATGAGTTCGATTCCCGGTACCAGAAAAAAACCAAAAAAAAAAGAACAAGTAAACGAACAGAAAAAAGCTGCACACAGACCACTGGAAGAAATGATGTTAGGCAGAGGTGCCCCAAAGCCAATCCAGATGTGACAAGTTCTGGGTGGAGGGGAAAGAGTCCACCCCCACCCCCACCCCGATAAAACCAGCTGAGAATGAAGGACCCGGGGTCCTCCGTCTTTTCTCAGCCCCCTATCCTGATTCTTTCTTCTCTGGGTAGCTATCTATCTTCTTCTTTCTCCCCTCCCCTTTTCCTCTTTATAAATAAAATGTCTTCCTTTCCTTAAACTTAGTCCCTGTAATTTACCACTGGGGGCCCTGTTTCCATCCTGGCAGGCTGCTCGAACTACAAAGCAGCGGCTGAGCTCATCCCCCAGATGCGACAACAGAGGGAAACAGGGAACACTCGGAGAGCTCAGTGACAGTGACAGATGCCAAACTCAGTAGAGGAGAGGAGGAGGAGAGGCTTCCAATCCTAAAGGCTCTGCGGTTGGGGTCACTGCTGGGAGGTAGAGAAGGGACCAAGACGGCAACAGCCTGAGCAGAGGTGTAAACATGTGAGGTCTACAGCAACTTGTCGTCACAGGAGTGAATAAGACGTACCAAAGTGCCCGGGAGTTTACCAGATTCTTCAGGTCACTAATATTGCCTCTGAAAATGTCAAAATCAATAGGCTGAAAAGTGCTTGCCCCTTTAAAGAAAAATTATTGCCCATCTCAGTGAATCAAACAATATGTTCTCTTGTACTTACGAATGGTAAGCTTCCCTCCAAACGTGTTTCCCTCTTCTCATTAGATGGTCATTGGAGTTTTAAGAAAGTACCTCAAAGCTTCACCTGGAAGAAAATTTCCTGGAATCTTCTTTTTCTCCTGGGAAGTGTACTGACTCCTCTAAGCTCACTGATTCCCCTCCTTGAATTGCAATTCATGGAATTTGGCATCTCCTGCCCTGCCATCTAAGACAGGAAAAGGCAAAGCCATAGGCCAACACGCTAACCATCCCCAGCAACCTCAGTCAGCAGCCAGCCAAGGAATTTGGACCTGCTTCCCTGTGGTCACATCAGGAATTCAAATGAAAAGCAAGGTTGTGACTCACACTACCCGCCGAAGGGGACAGGCTCAGGTGCTCCTCTGTTGCAGTGCGGATTGTAGCTTCCTGATAAGATCTGAAAAATCCCAACATGCTTGGCGACCATCATAGATAAAAGTTTAGGGCAACAGTCCTCAAACTACAGAAGCACGGATCAAAAGCACTGAAAATACACTGAAATGTCCATTCATGTCCACCCCTAGGATCTGCTCTAGGAGATATGGAATGTGGCTCTAGATTTCTCTTCCTCTGTTTTTTTGTTTTGAAATATCCTAGGTAATTCTGATGCTTAGGATTTATGGGCTACACACACTGAGATTCTCTCAACAGGTTTGGGGCTTTGAAGGGTTTAGAAAAGAGGGTGGGGTGGGGATTGTAGCCTAATAAAGTCACATACCACATACAGAATGATGGTTTAGTCAACACAGGGCACCCATACAAGCACTCCCTGTGAGACTGCAGCGGAGCTAAACATTCCTATGACTCAGAGAACACACATCCAGAAGAAAGAGAAAGACATTCAGGAGAAGAGAAAGAAAAAGAATCCCTGAGAAAAACCACAGTAAGGAGTGTAGCAGGGATTCTGCAGAACTTGGCAGGCTCCTCAAAACTCTGAAAATGTAGATCCAACACCCACACATTAGGAAATTAGACTTCCTAATGTCCACCATTCACAGGCTCAGAAAGAGGGGCCCACACATGCGGGCACTCGCAGGAGGCTTCACCAGCAACAGAAGTCGCAGACTGGTTACATGGGAAAGGTGCTCCGGAGGCTCTAGATCCACCCAACCAAGCAGCCGCCGCCAGCTCCCGCATTTCCTGACTGGCAGGGAAACCCACAGAACTGAGGAGGCAAGACACCCCCACCCAAGCTATTAAACCAAACCGTTCTCTTTCTTGTTACTGGATCACAGGATGGATCATAGACAGGAATAAAAGCCAACAGGTAACACGTGGGCTGGGTCACCCAATGGGCAGCTATCAATTGCTTTCACCCAATGGGCAACTATCAGTTCGTGATTTCCTGCAAAGCTGAAGAATGCTAAGTGAATCATCCCACTTCCGAAGTGGGGAAAGTATTTCTTTTTTTTGGTTTTGGTTTTTGGTTTTTTCCGGTACCGGGGATTGAACTCACGACCTTGCGCTTGCCGGGCAGGCGCTGTGCCGCTGAGCTAAATCCCCAGCCCCTGGGGAAAGCATTTTAAAAGTCAATTTTTAGACATCTGGGGCTGGGAATGTAGCTCAGTGGCACAAGTGCCTGCCTGGCAAGTGCAAGGTCCTGAGTTCGAGAGACATCTGCACATCTTAAAGCTTCAAACTTTAACAGACTATGCTGATTCCTTTAGGGGTGCAGCTTTAAATCAGGGCTCATAATTCTCAAGCCCTCCAAAGTAGACATCTTTGAGGAAAAAATATGCAGTCCCAGTTTGCTGAACAAAAATCAAGATATTAACTCAAGTTGGGGCAGGCTGAAATATCAAACAATGACATTCCTGAGGAGTTGGGCTAGAATTTTTTTTAAAGGGGGACAGGATTGTTGGTCAAAATACCATTGTAGGGACAAAGAATCTACCTAGAAGTCCAAACAGAAAGCAGGGTGTGAACCCAAGATAGCTAAATCATTTTGCCAAGCCAAAATGAAAAGAATAAGGACACGGCTGGGTCAAGTTCACTTAATGGGATTCTGGGAATCAGAAGCAAGAGAGGCAGGTAAGGTGCCCACTTCGGCCTGAAACCAGAACAGAACTCAGGCCATGAGCACACAACCTGCGGCGACCTATCCGTCCCTGCATTGACAGATTCCTCCAGCATGGGGCCCCAGTGTGTACATTAATTCCTGCTGACTTTTTGGCTTCCCTGTGGAAAATGTTAGCAGCAAAGCTCATCTAAGAAACATGAATTGCTGAGCAGTCAATACATGGGAAGGGTGACAGCCAAGACAGTGTGGTGGGCTCTGGAACCCTCAGATACTGTGAGTCTCTGTTAGAATGCTAAACTCCCAGGAAAATTTCTGATCATTTCAGGTCTGTTCTAGGTCAATCAAGTATTTTCTGGAGTGAAAGTGGGGGAAAGGGTGTCATATAGCGAAATCGCAGTTGCTGGGGGTCCATCGTATGTCTTGGGCTATTTCCTGGCTGAGAGGAATGGTTGGGGTCAGGAGAGTAACTCCAACTGGAGTGTCCACAAAGTTCAAAATAGCACTCATTTTTTTCATTCACTGCAACAGCATAACACAGTGACTTGGGTCAGAATACAAGGTCAGCGGCCAGGTGCTTGAGGTCATTACTGGCTCTGTCAGTCCCTAACACTGCCATCCTTCACCTGTCAGATGAGTTCCCTGGAGCACCTATGTCACAGGCGATTCATGTGAGGCACATCATCAGCACACAACAACTTCTACTAATATTATTATTCAGTCAAAAAGTTAACAAGCACTCATTGCAAACCAAGTACTACGTGAAAGCTTCATCATCCTTTAGCCCAAATCTACCTTCCACCTGGCAGATAACCCCATGCCAGTCATCAAGGAGACACATGGGCATCGTCTTCCCTCTGCCCTCCTCCCCAGGGCCCGCTTCCAGATGTGCTGCTGGGCTCCGCCTCCTGCACACACCAGCCACTTCCCTCTTCCCCACTGCCACTGCCACTGTCTGACTCCAGCTTCTTTACTGTCTCCTCTCAGATGTGACAGTAATTCCCAAAGGGCAATGCCATATGAGCCCGTATCACCTAGGACCCCCCCCACCAATGTCTAAAACATGAACGTGAGTGATACTGATTCAGCCAGACCTTTGTCCTCCCTTTAGCAGCTGAAAATCAGGTTGTCTGTGACAAAAACATAGAAACAGAAAACTGAAGGTGCCAGGCATGGTGGTGCACGCCTGTAATCCCAGCACTCGGGAGGCTGAGGCAGGAAGATCACTGTGAGTTTGAGACCA